TATTTCGCAGCAGAAGATAGTCTTATTGAAGAAAGTCATGTACCATCAGCCCAGTGCGAGGGCATCTTGGATAGCCTATAGTTTTTAAGACATTATTCCGACTAAGTGCAACAGTCAAATGCAGATGCAAAGAACTTATTGTCCGGTTCAGAGTGGGAGCAAGACTTTGCAACTACGGAGGAAGAAGTGACTGACTCGTCAGATAGTACTACCTTATTCGAACTTTGGCTACTGTACTTGCACAAATGTAATTTAAATGATCTAAATACTAATTATTTGATTGAAAAAATTATGGATGAAATGCTTTTGCTTTCATCCAGCCTCATATTAATACAAAGTTATGCCAATTTATCATTTAACGACAATAAGATCTTTGATGACGTCATGCACATTGTTTGATGACGTCATAATAAAAATACTAATGGCGGCAAATAATCCTTAAATATATATCAATTAAAAGCTTGCAATGAGACGAGTCAAAATATTCAATTTGTGACAAAAAATAACAATCCAGTAAAGAGCTAGCGATGATTTTGTCTGATTTTTTACCGTTAAATGACGTCATCAGTCCCGTGACATCCAGACATTTTAAAAAAAGTCACCTGGCAGATTATGAAAGCCTGGACTCTCTACTACAAGAATCCGTTGAGAAAGTAAACATTAGCTTGAACGTCAGATTGTCATGTCTAAAAAGGAACTTGAAAACTTTTTTTAGTGAGGTATTCATGCAGCGAATGTCATATTAGCTTATACGCCCCCTTTTTAAGCCCCTCAAAAAACAGCAAGCCCTTCAAGAGCTTTTCGAAGATTTAGCGTTTTCAAATACCTTTCAGTACTTCACAAAATAATCAATGGCTTGGTTCTGGTTTTTCTCCTTTGTTTTCGAATAACCGTTTCCAACTAGTACAACACCCCTTTCCCTACAGAACAATGTTGTTGATAGTCAAGGGAAATATAAAAAAGTCACCTTTCAAAACCTTTCTACCGTGTATCAGTTAAGAAGAATTGCTTCAAATTGGGAGGAAGAGGAGACAAAGATGGTTCAATTCCATCGTGATTGATTGTCGATCACTTTTCATTTGCATAATTGAAAGGTATGTAGTAAGGGATCACAAGTTAAAGGCAGTTGGGGCTATTTCTACCTCCTTGACATTTCCGATGGAAATCTTCATTACATCTATTTTATGCCGCACGTCAAGATACAGCTTGAAGTCACGTCAAGATATTTCTGTTTGTAGTGTGGAAACTCAGGCTGAGTCTTCGGGAGACACTAGGTTTGAGAAACCTAGGTTTTCTTTTGACAGCCTGAATAGGTTCTTAAGCTTGGTTCCCACTAGGCGACTAAGTGCGTTCAAGTGCGTTCATCTCTGAGCGTTCAAGTTGAACGCCAAGTGGGAATGCTCCGGGCGTTTAACTTGGAGGTGATGAGCGCACTTGAACGCTCAAAAAAGTTAAACGCCAAGATCAAAAAATTTTGATCTGAGCGTTTTAACATAAAAGAAGTCGAAAATTTCAAGGAATGTTTCATTCATCAACCAACAAGTAAGATGCAAATGTAAAGCCAAAATAAGGCAATTTCAACCGTAAGCAACGCATGAAATCGATTTCATGACTGTTAGCACCTTGCGCTCAATCTATTCTGTGGCTCAATAAAACATTGCCAATTAACAGATTTCTGCCCAGGGAAAAGTTCAGCCTAGGAACAGATCAAATAGAATGTCTTCAACCTGAGGAAAGTTGAAAGGACTAACGAGAGGCCATAAACTGAAAGCATAGAACACCTACAATATACACGAACTTTCTTTTTGATTTTGTCTTCAAAACTTGAAGCCTTCTTAAACGTTAAAGGTTCAACGGAATTGCCAATCTCTTTCTCAAAGTTTCGCGGTTAATTTTGACTTCACACAGCTAGCTATGTTTTGCAAGTGGGAATGCCTCGGTAGTTTATCTGTTATCTTTAATTCAATTAAAAGATTAGAGATGAACGCACTTGAACGCACTTAGTCGCCTAGTGGGAACCAAGCTTAAAAGGTTAACAAGGCTCTATAGGCCTTGCATACATTAACAATGTTTTCCACCGCAAGAATTCTAATGGACACACTTAAACCAGCTTTTTTATGTTGAATTTCAACCAATCAAATGAATTTGTGTTGTTAGATTGTCCAATCAGAATGCAACATACCATAATCTGATTTGCTCTAAAAACCCTTTTTCTTACATATATATAAAAACCTTTTCAAATTTCAGCCTCCTGGGGGCTCTTCATTTTGGGGTTTCAGAAGGTTAAATTTCAGCCTCAATAAAAAAACAGGTTCTTTTATGCGGGTTTTTACTGTACCTAAAATAAAAACTGAAATACACAATCGATTTTTCATCAGTTTCTGTTCATCAGTCAAAATAGGGGCTATTACTAAAACAGGGAATAGGGGAATCAGGGAATCGGGAAATCGGGAAATCAGGGAATCGGGAAATCGGGGAATCGGCGAATGTTGCAACCAGTAAGCCAATTTACCAGTTTTATACCTTGTACGAAAGGTCTATGCGTAAGTACTTCATCTCTAGGACCAGAACACTCATCAGCGCAATACAGTTCGTTATATTTCAAGAAATATCAAAACTCCAGCTAAATAATGAAAACTGGCATGCATCCACGGCTACAGGCATTTAAACAGCGAAGCACTTTCAGGGCAGACCAAAAAAGCTTCACAGACATTGTACCATTTCCTGAGCTGCAGGCTACAAAAAATGGAAAGCAGAATGCTCACAAATCATCACAAACTCGCCATACAAGAAAAAATGCGGACCAAAAGGGCAGACCAAAAAGTGCAGAAGGGCATATATGTGACTTACGCTGAATATAACAGTTGCTTCTAGAGTTGCTAGTTTTGTCAATTTTTGCAGATCTTCAAGTTGCCTTTTCAATTTTTCTTGCAATATTAAAATTTATATAAAGTGCTGATGTAAAATCAGAAAAAATTATAATTAATTTGATATTAGGAAGAAAAGGTATGTGTTTGGGATGTTGGGATAAGCCCCCAGAAGCTTTTGGGGAATAACATTTTTATTTGCATCAAATAGTATACAATTAATCAGTTTATGAACCTTAGTAAGCAGCTTTTCACACTTTTGAAAAATATTTGGGGATGTCATATGGCCATGTCCCCCCCCCCCTCTGATGCTTTGGAGCATCATATCAACGATACAACTAAATTTTACTAAGCAATGCTGATTTTTAAGAGTTAAGAACAAGGGTTTATAGTGTGTCTCATGTTGCCCCAAGTGCAGGGTAAAATGAGACATTAGACCTATTAAAAGTAAAAAGGGAAATTCTCCATTTTGAACATGGTAGATAGGTTTCGCTTCTGTTATTGTAAATCTTGTAGTTGAAACACTATGTCATAGCCTTCTATTCTTATATCCACATCTTCATGTTTGAAAAGTTGTTGAAAATTTGCTTAAGCGACTCATTTTGCCCCACATTACCCTATAATTCGCGCATCTTAAATTCGGTCAAAAGTCTTTCATATTCTCGCGCAGTCTTTAATTTGCGCCCACGAGAAAGTAGACAGGATGATACAACAATTCAGTTAAAAAGAAATTATATTTCTGAACGTTTCTCTTGATTAAAAGTAGCCTTTTTATAAAAACGTTTCTCTCTCCGTTACTTTCAAGCGCTAACTGCTTCACATCGTTAGTCCACTGGCCCTTGAAAACATCGGCTAGCAAAAGCCACTCTTGATTTTTTCTCAGTTTCAGCTCTTCTCTCTTCTTTTCTACATATGGCATTACAATTTTCCACACTAATTCTTTGGATTTTTCTTCATTGGACCAATGGTTTTCATTGTGTGTGATGTGAAATTCCTTTGGAAAGGTGTAGTCCGGATGACAATGATCATTTTTCCTTGATAAATCAGCTGCATCGGAAAGAAGTTTCCACTCAAGCTTATGGCAAACGTGCCAGTTATTTGTCTTTTGTCTTTCGAATTTGTTATGGGAATCGATTTTTCTCCTTTCTTTGCCATAGTATATTGAGGAGAAGTAAGAAAAATGGAGGGGCGGTTTAGTCCAAGTTTATAATTAAATCGTCTGGTATTTTATGCGCCTTCACAATATCAAATATGGCCTGATGGTGGAGCAACAAAAGTCTAGAATGCTCATGGCTGGAAACAAGCTGAGAGCGTGGCTCTGTGTAAAACATGTGACAGCGAAGAAGTTTACTCCATTGATGACAATGATGATGAGAATGATGTGGAATGGGAAGGAGATAATGGTACTACAGAATTGATAGAAAATAGAGAGCAGTTTGAGGTAAAATGCGGGTCTCCTGGCTTTCACCAATACAGAAAATTTTGGACGCCCAAACTTGACGAAAAACTAGAAGTCGTACATGAAAGAACAATATTTACGATCCTTATGCAATGGCTTTGCGCATTAAGACAAGAAAGATGATCGACGGACATCGCGCAATCGGGCATTTGCGGGCATTTACTAAACAATCCAAGTTGTCATTTCATAGTAAAATGAAGAAAAATTGCAAAAAATTTTTGGAGGGCTCACGCCCGGTAGCCCGACCGGCCAGGCCGCCCCTGGCGCTAAGTTCGTTGAAAATTGGTTTGTTTTCAATCTTCATCGATTGTGACGATATTCACGCGCTCGTTCAAATCTTCCGGTATTGGCCTCCAGACGACCCGCGTTTGCAGGCACCCGTACCCTTGCTCGCTTCAGCTTTCTTCCCCTAAATTAGACCCCCTTTCTGTATTCCAGACAACATTGAGCCATTTTGCGATAGTCTTCGCTGTTCAGACAACAAACTAGAACGACGAAAAATGTTTTTTGGCGATGTCATTTTTTTGCGTTGATGACTCTTTAAGTCTCTCTCTGAAACTATGTTACGCCCTAACTGACTGCAAGACGTGGAAAACATGCTTAAAAACTATCAACAAAACAAAACATCAACATATTACCAAATATGGCTATAATAAAAAGGTCACGAAATGTCAAGTAAACCCCCACACATTGATCACGTTGACATCACGCGTAGTGTCCAGTTCCTTGCGTGTTTATTTGTTGGGAAAATCATTTTCCATACTCGCTAGTTCAAAAGGTCGAAAGTTTATCTAAGATTCAACTCAAGAAAACCAGTATTTCGCTATGTTCATATAATTCTTAATTCGGTTCTCCACAACTGTTTTTCACGATGTTAAGTTACACACTTTTTTGTTCTTACTCAATTCAACTAAGCTTCTTACAAATCCGACCAATCAAATTAAGCTAACAGAACAAGGCATTTTTACATAAAAAAATATATAATTAGTGAGTAATATATTCAAGCAAACATTATTAAAACAATACGGAAAGAAATTTTCACTGGAAATGAGTTAATTCCACGTGCCTGTAGAAAAATAAATAATGCGCCTTCGCAGTTATCGTGCAGTGTTCAACAATTTTCACATTAGAAAATTAGCTCAATCATAGGGTGCTTATGATAGAAAATAAATATTTCAGAACTCATCTATAAACTGTGTGTTAATTTTAAAACCTTATTCTAGGCAAAAAGCACATATTGCTTATAATTTGTTAATTCTTTTGACCATTTTGATATTTTATTACTCAAACCAAGAAATTTTTGCAAATGGAAATTCTATTTAGCAACGCAGTAGAGAGAAAGTTGTTGTCACGAATAAGTCTACGATAAAAACACTACTCGTAATAATACCTGTGTATCTAATTAAAATATAGTAGAAAATAAACATTGAAATATTTTATTTCAGTGCCAAGCATATTAGGATAAAAAATGTTTATATGCAGCAAGCGCATTGAAGCTAAAAACAGCCAATCTGAAACAAGTTGAAGAACATGTTAAGTTTTTGTGGATTTGCTGCAAAATAATATGAATTTGAGAATTCAAAATAGATGAAATTTCTTCATATGTAAATTTTCTCAGATGCTGCGTCATAAAAATGCAAGAACGAGACCTGCAGACTTAACAATTTCACATTTAAAACTTTCTCAAAAAACGATTTACAAAAATTGTAACTCATTTTCAATTTGCACGAGAGCCAGGAAGACAAGAGACAAGACTGCAAGATGGATATTTGAAATATTGGAATGATGAAATATCTAACAATTTGCATGCATTGTTTTGTAAGTTGATTTTTGAAAAGGTGGATTTCCTCTTCGCGATATGGACAGAAAACGGAAAACGGTATGCGGTACAAGCATGCGCAGAAATATTTTGACATTCAAAACGGTGCGCTTACCGTACCGCTTTCCGTTTTTGAAAGTTCAAAGCAAGGCAACTTTTCCCATGGAATTCGTACCGTTTGACCTCTCAACCAATCATGTTCGAGGTATTGCGTCATAACTTCTGCAACAAGCTGTGTTTCGAAATTGAAATAGTACCCCCTATCATCGGTGGAAGCAGGCAGCGTTGTAGAGCCTCTCTTGTAGATGCCAATAATGATCCCTTTTTGGAAAATGTTGCTATCCTTTTTGAGAAATTTTTCGAGAAGGCCCCTCTTGTATTTTTCACAGTAACACTTGTAATTTCATAAATCCCTGGGTGGAACTTTCCTTTTTGCTTTTACCTTTAAACTGTTACACACATATGCTTTTCTCGTATTTCTTTCTCTTTTAACTTTTCAATCTTCTTACAAAAGAAAAAGCATCATAAAGTTGTCAAACATAAACATGCCTTCTTCCCCTTCGTCGGGCATGCTTCATTGCAAAAAATGAAAATGGGAAGAAAGCCAAGTGGAAATTGATGGGCGGAAACTTTCCGAATCGTCGACCATAAAGTGAAGTGGAAATCCACCTTAATACCATTATTTAACTCGATGAACGAAAGGAGGGCATCGAAAAAATCAGGAAAATGAGTAATATATTCGTCTCAATCCATAGTACCTACGGGGACTGGAGAGGGGTGGGGGCTGGAAGATGATTTTGGATAAAACTGTTCGCCCCCTCCCAGTAATTTGCCTCTTGCTACGACCCTACAGGCTTAACACAATCGCTAATCTTAAAGTTGTCTCAAGATTGATCAAAAAAAAATTTTTTTAACAGGAAGACAGAAAGTGATCTAAAAATATGTAATTACGCATGAATTACCTCTTTCATGTTCATTTGCATAAATTACCGCTGGATGACACGAATATTGATCCCATTTGCCGGACTCATTGTTACTCCAAAAGTCAATTTGAGTGGCTGAGGCTGTAGAAAGAAGAGGCCAGGTGAAAGAAAATTTATGCAATTGCATAATAAATGGTATCTTATACCACAAGATAGATAAAATATGGTATAAACGGTTGCACGAAGCTCAATGAACAAAGCTCATTGTAATATGAAATGAAATAGATTCTGCATCTAGAAAAGAAAATAAAGCCGTGAACAGGAAAGAAAAAAGGACACAGAAGATCCGCTGAGAAGCTACGCTTGTCGAGCAGTGTCCTGTTCCCTCCTCCTAATGTAACAACACCGCGTGATTCATGCACCGTGAAATGCAGAGAGCTGACAACTCTCCTCAGTCCAAATGAAAGTTGGTCATGGCAGACGAGGGGCATATCAGAACACAAAATCTAGTACACCTTTGGCGCAAATATCCAAAAAATATACAAATTTGTTTTTAGAAATATAATATGGGGTGCTCTCTCCTCGATTAGCTCCTCCTTAAGAAATTCCTCTCCACACGAAATTCTATGTACTCTTATTGTAAAATTTGTCATTTTTTGTCATCTGTCAATTTGTTATTCTAGTTAATTGTATGTATTTTAGAAAGATTTTTGTATGTAGTGGAATTTTAAAAGTAAAACTGAACTGAACTGAATATACATATTTGTTTATACATATTTATACATCTAGGTAATGGCACTATTCAAGTGTTTGTTTCTTTCATGACTTAATACCAGTACTCGTGAGATGTTTTCCTTTCGTTAGGTTGGTCCCAAAGGAGCCAAAACCCGTCTTTATAAAAACACCGCGTTCATAAATACAAAAGCCAAGCATTTGATTTAAATCCCTGGTGATTTAACACAACCTGCAAACACAATGACTAACATAGATAATGCAGCACTGTCTCTGGACTCTGGTATTACACTGCTTAGCCGATGCAGTTCATCATATGAATCACAATTACCTCACAGTTACCATTCAAATGGCTCCAAACACAAGTGTACCATTGGCACAGGCTGTTTCAAAACAGTAACATTACCTCTGTTTCTTTTGTCTTCACGAAGCGAAATTTCTTCAGCAGGGTGATAAGAGTGAGCTTAGCCTCGATCAGAGCAAATCGCATTCCAACACAATTGCGAGGCCCGTGACCAAATGGCAGGAAAGTGTATGGAATGATATCACCTTTCCTCTCTGGGCTGAACCTGCCAGGGGAAAATAGTAAATTGCTAGATTAAATTTAAGCCAAAATGGCGGTTCGTGAGTCTTAACAGTGTGAGGTTCCAGATTTACGTCGAGCTAAGACAGCAAGTGCCACAGGCCACAGGGTTATAATCGACATGGCTTAAATGTTGTTTTCTAATTCGCCTTCTCTTCGCATCGAAGTGCTCAGTACTGAGCACAGTTCATAAGGTTCTGTTATGAAACATCTCTTGGCGACATAATGCAACTCACTCCAAGCAAATACTTTAGATTAGATGTTATTCTGTAATTCTCTCTGCTTTATTGAAAAGTCTGGTGATGTGAAGATAACTGTTTGGATTTTTGAGCTTCTTCTGTGCTTTGACATTGAAATATTCCCCCTTTGGAATTTTCGCCTTGATTAGTGCACACTGTGACCAGCAAAACCCAGGCCTATAATAGGCTACATTTATTTTCCTACCAGACCTTTGGTCAACGGCGTGGCTCTTTTTTTTTGCTAGAAATGTTGCTCTTTATAGTAAAGTCTTAATCAAGATAATAAAATTACCCACCATTATAATATTCTTGCGCTCGGGAAAATTTCACTATTAAAAATGTCAGTATATTCTACTAAGAATACTGCTGTTTTCATTCGATGGGTCCAAGATCTTTGTAGGCGATCAAGGAGGTACAACATGAAATCTTTAATGCAAGCTCTCAATTACGCAAATTGAAAGAGGTTTTTTCCCCTCAGGGTTTTCAAAACAAAACACCTCTCAGCCTCTCCGTTAACCTACTAGACTAGCAAATCCAATTGCTTTCCTTTCAGCCAGATTGATCTCCAAAGCAAATTTTAGTCTATTTTTAACAATTTTAATCTGAAAGCTTATCACCGCAGTCACGACTTCCCTAACTCCTACAGAGAATACCAAAACACAATTAGCTTCGAGAGTGTTGTTGCTGTCGACGCGGAGTAAAGATGCGCAGAGGTAAATCTCGTACTGGTTTTCAATCTTACATACAACAGTCATCACCTATGGAAACATCTCTCATAAACCTCCGTCGAAAAATACGGACATGTTTCTTAGATATTTAAAGAGGGCGATAATAGAAAAAAATCACAGATACAACTAACCTTTCTGGATCGAATTTCTCAGGGTCTTTCCAGAACTGTTCCGAATGGTGAATGACAAAAATTGGCACGGAAATAGTTGTATCTCTCGGGATTTTATACTTACCCAAAACGATATCATTTTCGGCCCTCCTTAAAGTTCTAAAAGCGAGAAAACATAAAGATGATGGAGAAGTAACAGAAGATTCGCTAAATACATGTGATTAATAACTGTCGATAATTGTTGAAAAAGAACAATAAAACGTCGTTTAAAGAACGGAGAGCGGCTTTTATTCTAAAAAAAGCGCAAAACTAAAGCCCTGCTCAAGCGATCCAACATTTCACCCAACATTTCGCCCAACATTTTCACGCGCAGATCGAAAAAGGACTGGGTAGAAGTTTGTGCTGAAAGCTGCACAGTTTCGCGACATTTCAACCCGAAAATACGAAAGGCAATCACTGCTTTCCCTTTTTTTGTTTTGAGATATTTTCACTGTCATCGCGGTCTTTCAGGACTAGCGTTGCATCCCCTATCAAGGCCGTGGCCTAAATTCGTCCCCTCCGCGCTTTCTTGTAGCTCCTCTGTTCTACAGTTTCTTCATTGACGCTTAATGCCTCTTCTTTGGCACAGAATTCATTTTATTTCGTTATATTGTCCATAATTAAAGTTTAACTGATTGTAAGCAAACGCGATTGTTGAAACTAACGAAACCAGCACAAGAAAACAACAACGATACGTTGATTGAATTTTGGCGCTCTTTAACCAACTGCGCTTGCGCAGAGCCAACAATGTTGGCTGAGGTTGTCAAATTATCAACCTACTAACATTTCCCTTAACACTTCAAAACAATAGAATCGTTGGACGTCGGCAGGCAACATTTTTGAACTCAGTCAAATTTTGTCCAACATCGAAATTTACGATGTCGGGTGACCCAACAAGGTGGTCAAACGATCCAACATATCAACCAACATGATATTGGGCAAAATGCTGGGTGAAATGTTAGATCGTTTGACCAGGGCTTGAAGAAAAACGAAAATAATTAACAAAAAGAAAGGAAGATGCTATCGAAAAAATATGAAGGACGCTTGAAGTGCCTAGAGACAAGGGGGCAGGCTCAAAAAAAGGGCATTAGAAAAAGAATTCCTTCATGTCTGCTATTTAATTTCGATCTTCTCTAGCAATCTTTGAAAATGGCGGTTGCTCCGCACAACCCCACTCCAGCGTCCATGTACATATGTAACAAAAGGTATTGCAAATCATGCAAAAATATATAGATAAGAGTAAGCGACAATTTATCGTGACTTACTGCCATGCTGGTGGGTAAAAACGAAGTGATTCATTGAAAACAGCATCAAGATAGTCGAGTTTTTGGATATCTTCGTAAATCTTGCCATCCTAGGGCAGGAAACTCGAAACATGACATGAAAATTAACAAAGCATTTTATATTAGTATGTAAACGCGGATTTATGTACAGAAGTTGAGGACTGAAATCGCTGGTGTAGCATTCGGGTACTTCATAGTTTTAGTGAATATATAAAAAATTAATAGGATATAAAATTTGCAGAAAAAAAATTAAAACTTTGGCATGCTTTAGGAATCGTTGATTGTGATTATTTGTCTTTCATTATATAATGTATTTATATTGATATAGTATAAATTAATGATATTGTAAAATTAACCGAAAAATAAGACATCGTTTATGATGCTATGATACAACAAGAAGCAGGGAGACCTTTGAAGCTAACATCCAGGATCAAACTACTTCATGTCGAATTGAGATTGGTTACCAATACTCAGTAAATACCCCCTACAGTAATCCCACCAATCAAAATGCTCTCATCGTGAAACATTTTATTTTTTAAAAAGCGAAAACAATGGCAAAAGAGGCTGAGAAATATGTATCGTTCAGCCTCAGAAATGGTTTATGATAATCTCACTTGAAAGCCAAAAAATAACTAATTGCTTCGCAAACAAACTGCCAACTTACAAACTAAAACCGATGAGCCATGGGCTACGACACAGGTTGGAAATTGAGGTTAGGGGCCAAGGAAAGATCTAATACACATAACAAAATATTTTGAGAAAAGCTCGATTGTTTTGCAAAAAAGTGGGGGAGGGGGGGGGCATGGCCTTGTGAAAGGTAGGCATTAGAAATACTACAATTCATTGTGTCCCGTAGGCAAATTTCACTTCTGCTTTTAGAGTCTACTGCTTGTCGGTGTGGGATTCTTTTGTTGGTAGTTTTAAATAGTAGATGCAGATAGGCTTTATGTTATTCCTGTGAGTTGCTTAAATCATTGTAGTACAGTGGCCTACTTTGCGTACATCATTCGATGCCTTTTTGGTGTAGTCTCTCATCCTTTTGGATGAATGTAAAGTGATAAGGTAAAAAGTTACCGATGAGTACATACATTAGGCAATTAAGCAAAAGCTATTGCATCATTTTGGCATACAGTTTTCAAGCCACACCTGTCCACACCCTGATACAGTTTCTGTTTAGACTTAGAGCGTCTCATTCGGTTTGACTGGGAGGATACACATTCTTTTGAAAATGTCTCCAAGTTGGCATGGGCTAAGATCCTTTCATTAGAGCATAATCATAAAAAAGGTAGTGCATACCTCTGAATTCATGTCACAGTCTTTCACTTCGTTGTACAACCGTTCTTGAATTTCAGGATGCAATGCAAGTAGGTAGGTCGTGTAGGCCAGTGCGTTGCTTGTGGTTTCATACCCAGCCAGTAAGAATGTAATCGCGGAGGCGTAAATCTCCGTGTCGCCTAGTTTCAACTGACCATCAACTTTATTCTCAGCCAACAACAACTGCAAGAAGTCCTTTCTCTACCAATTTAAAAACAAGACCTTCATTACTTCAAAAGTATGAACATTTTAAGCAAGCATCGAAATTTTGGAACAAGTAAAAATCTTACCAAGTTTAAGATTTGCAAACAAGAAGATATTTGAGCCAGTACGTTGTTGATTGCTAAGTGCCTGAGGTTCATGCAAAGTATTTTTCTCAAATTTGGCACTCCATAAAATGCACAAAAAGTAGTTTTCTTACTTCCTCATATCAAGCCTACATTTACTCCTCTCTGCCAAGAAAACAGCCAAGATCATAGAGTATTCTTTGACCGTTGCTACATTTGTGGCACAGAAAATACATTTAGTGCTTGTTTTTATTACTATTGAGCACGTGCATTTGATAAATTTAAGAACGTATCAACTATAAACATAATATATAAACAAGATTCTTTACATATTAGGGAACTTTATTTACCAAGGCAAGAAAAGTTGGCAAGATAGTACAACAACGGAAATATTGTTGGACAAATACTTGCCAATATCCCAACTGATAATGCTAGAAAATATTAATGGCAAGGTGTCAGATGATATCTGTTTAAAAACTGGCTTTTGGGGCTTCAGTAAGTGACTATGATTGTTTTTTGTATACATTTCAAAGGCTATCAGCAATGCATTTTCAGAAAACATACCACTGATGCATTCTTCTTCCTCTCTTCGACAACTGGCTTTAAAAGATTAACAAAGAACGTTGGGTCTGGAGCAAATAATGTTTTTAAACGGTCTGTGATAAACTTTGGAAGTGGAAACAAATCTGAGGAGGAAGAGAAAAAAACATTCAAAGAATTGTGAAAAGGAAAATGGTTACTTGGAATTTTCTTACGTAAACCCACACCCAGCATATATCAAGTCATATAGACAAAACACAATCAGAACAAACAGAAGGGTGCTTAAACAATACAAAGAGAAGGAGACGGTATCATAAAATGGATCATATCATACAATAAATTATATACAATACAATGGATAAAATCATACAATTGACCAAATCATACATGACCTTATCATTGAATGAAAAAGTGCTCATTTTTATCTATACCAATCTAAAATGTCCAAAAAAGTTCGTCCATAGAAACGACTCAAACAGTTCCTTAAAAAATGTTGTATCCGGAATTCCACATGGCTCTGTACTCAGTCCAATTTTATTCAATACCTCTATTAATTATCTCTTCCTCTTTGCAAAGCAGACACCCCTTCATAATCATGCTGATTATAATACACTTTCACATTTTCCTAAACTATGTCCGAGCTTGTCAGGGTTTTTGATTTTGAGGTGATTACATATATCAGACTTTAATTCATCTTGTGATTTTGAGGTAATAACAGTAGTCTAAAGGAACATCATCATGAATATAGACTTTCCTTAAGAAACTGCTTTTGGTATAACACCTTTTAGATCATTACAAAGCTTTCTTCATTCAACTATCAAACAAAGCAAGAACTACTTTAACATAGATAGAATAAACCTTTGCCAGGTTGCAGATTTCGAGACTGGATCTATGAACAAGCAGATGATATAGATAATACCCGAGATGGCACCAGTTGCCACGGAAGAGTAAGGAGATTTTTGAATTTCGATGCTTCCAGTTCGCTGGCTGGAAATGCCCTTATTGAAGAAGTTTTTACGACAATACTATACAACCTTATTCTTAGAAGCAATATCCACAGGCGGAAAGCTATTTAATTGTTTTGGTCGATATCCCGGTGCCGTTGTTGCTTCAGCTTATGGCGCGCAGAACATCAGTTGGTTGAAACAACATCAACAGCATTAGACTTATAAGGCCCTTTCCCGCTCCAAAATTAATTTTGATTGATTGACCAAGTTATTTTTCGAATGATATGTTGATTTTGGTATGTTTTAAAGGGTGTTCAGCTGCTTAATAGCTTTTTCTTAGGGTGTTCCTGGGGTGTTCATGGGGTGTTCATGAGGTGTTCATGGGGTGTTCATGGGGTGTTCATGGGGGTGTTCATGGGGTGTTCAGCCTGTTCTTGGAGTGTTCATTCTTTTAAAATCGACGATTGTGGTGTTAAAAATGACTTTGAAGAAAGCAAGCATTTTACAATAAATTCGCTACAAGCCTTTTGGTCTGACACTCCTTAGAGCATAAAATGTCAGAGTAAGGGTCCGAAATAACACGTTGGAAAGTATACCTTCAGTTGTGGATCAAAACAGGCCAATCAAAAAATCGCAAGCACAAGAACAATATAGTTGTCGAACCATACCATACCATACCATACCATACCATACCATACCATACCATACCATACCATACCATACCATACCATACCATACCATACCATACCATACCATACCATACCATACCATACCATACCATATCATACCATACCATACCATACCATACCATACCATACCATACCATACCATACCATACCATACCATACCATACCATACCATACCATACCATACCATACCATACCATACCATACCATACCATACCATCGCGGGCAGATAACAAATTTACCTGATTAAAATATGATTGCCTGAAAGTAAATAGTTGCTGTCACGAACCTCTACAATATATTTTGTGAATCTAACTCTGTATATAATTCGCCACATATATTTTTATATGATAATAACAGAGTTTCCTAATAGTTTTGTCAAATCTCTATATCGGAACGGGTAAAGGATATAGTTACTACCCGAGGCGGCACCATGGTTGCCGCCGAAGGAGGAGGAAATTTTCGAATTTTGATGCTTCCAGTTCCCTGGAAAATGCACTTTTTAAGCAAATTTAACTAAAGCAGTCCTCCTAACCCTATTGAAAATTCTTTTTGCAAACAAATTGAACAGCAGTTAGAAACAACTGGTACAATTTCGCTATGGTCTTGAAAAAAACCATGTTGTCAGTTACTTCTAGGTAACAAGCAACGCTGGTTGTCAATTTAGATCCCTCTCTCCATCTTAGCATGCCTTTTGAATGTTAAATAAAAATCTGGAGCTCATAGTGAATTGCAGTTGACGCTTCTACCGAGAAACTTTAAGGGAAATGGACACAAGACACAATTTTACCTAAAGAGGGCCTGGATTTTAGATTTAGTGCCAACAAGAAATCTTCAAATATTCAAATCAGTAGTTTGTTTACCTTCATTCATATCAAGGAATATCATATTTAACCAACGGAGCAACTACCTTTGCTTGATCCTTTATTGCTTTTATGACATGAAGGTCTCTAAAATACCTAAAGCGTTTCTTCCAACGAGCGGATTTTACCTGAAATTTCCAATTGAGATACTATTGAGGGAATGTGTCTGTTCTCGCATTCCCCTTGAAATTTGCGCATCCAACGCCGCGCATAGCACGGAAACAAGATAAAGCATGTACATATGGCGAAAAAGTTATTGTTGTCGGTGCCAGCTAGAGTTTTTTTCCAAAGTAGCGCTGGTTGGGACCGGACTGGACCGATTCTGCCCCCTGTCATTTTTCGGTGATTAGCCCTTCCTTTCTAGAAAATGCGCCCACTATATGCCTTACTTTACTGCAATACAGCATGGTACCAACAAAATTGGGACAGAAATACTAAGCAGATGGCTAGATCGGGACCGACTTTAATGCTATCAACTTTCAACTGGGACCGGGTGGTGAAATTATTGGGGGGGTGTGACACCCCCCCACACCCCTCTCATTTGCGCCCCTGCATACCATACCATACCACACCAAACCATTCCATTCCATATCATACCATACCATACCATACCATACCATACCATACCATACCATACTATACCATACCATACCATACCATACCATACCATTCCATACCATACCACACCAAACCATTGCATTCCATTCCATATCATGCCATACCATACCATACCATACCATACCATACCATACCATACCATTCCATACCACACCAAACCATTCCATTCCATATCATGCCATACCATACCATACCATACCATACCATACCATACCATACCATATCATACCATACCATACCATACCATACCATACCATACCATACTATACCATACCATACCATATCACACCAAACCATTCCATACCATACCCTGCCAAATTGTTCCATCTTTTTTGCTTTTACTCAATAGGTAACAAATATATTTCTTGATAAAGCAAAATAAAAAGTTTCAAGCAAACCATGAAGGTGTTGATAACCTACTTACCAATGATTAAAACCGCAGGTCTGGGAGAAAAGAAATGTGATGCTTCTTCTGAAATTTGCTTATCTTCATTCAGTTGGTAATCTGTCTTTAAACCAAAAGCAACTGATAGGATGACTTCCATTGTCATCTGCCCATACAATCTAAAACATTTGATAAGTGATCCCATCATTAGAAATATTACTTCACATACCTTAACCACCTTTAGGGAAAAGAATCTGTTATCCTGCATCTAAGCTTTTCTTCCTCCCATACATGGCCTATACCTAACCTATACCTAACTGGTTTGCATCTCTCACCACCCCTCCAGGGGATCTTTTAACATACAAACTAGTGGGGAAAATCCCCACCAGGCCCATAAATTTCCCCACTAATTGGCCCATGATTCCCCACTAGCAAGTGCCCTTTTGTTGAAAATTGTCTTAAACACCAATTTGACTTATCTCCAATTACTGTTCGTTGTGTCGTTGTCGTGTTATATGTGTCAAATTATTCGTTATTTCTTTGGTCTTATTGCTGTCAACCAATCTCTGTTTGACGTTCTTGCACTACAGCAAGGCGAGGCAATGAAATCTGCGGGAAAAGTTGCTTGCGTCGTTGATCTCCAAACATGCCAAGATCTGAACGCTCGTTAAAAAGAAAGCAAAAAGAAGCTCAAGAAATTGCTTCAAAATGCAGAAAATTAACAAATTTTTATGGATCAAAATTAAAAACGGACAACAAAGGTACAGAAGAGAAAGAAATAGGAGCCTCCAGCCATCCAGATTCACCTCAAGGGGAAGAAATTGAAAGCCAAGATATTAACAACCCGCAGCTATCAACACACACTGTTCAAACACAAAAAACAGCCAGTGTATTTTATTACCACGGGATTAAGCTGGATCTTAAGTTCATTATTGAAAGTTTTCCAGAACTGCAAAGCTATACAGCAAAGAAGAATGGGAAAAAACGTCTTCATGTTGTTTGCAATTTATGCAAAGAATATTTGGACGTGGCAAAGAAATACTCGCGAAATGGAAAAATTGGTATTGCAAATGGGGTCAGAGCAGATGATGAAGAACGACTCAAACTAATAATTGGTCATGTATTTTCAGAAATGCACAAAGCAACGAGAAATCAGAAGCAATTGGAGCTGATGTGGGAAGAGAAAAGTGCTAATCATCCATGGTTGAACGGTTTAAAAAAAGCCAACACCAATGTAGTTAAATTTTTGGTAAACATGGCATTTGATTTATACAATGACTGTCTTTGTGAAACTATTTCTGCTCACTCATGGCCAGCAAGGTCTTTAACAACGCTTGCAGCCACTCGACTCATATCCCTTATGGAAGATGAAGGTCCAGATGCAGTTCTACCAGAGTTCAAACCAACAAATGCTGAGTTACACTACAGGGATCCAATGTGCTACAGAGATATGTTGTCTTCAGTTCAAGCCATTGAACTGCAGAAAGTAAAAAAAATGTTTCTGGAATGCATTGTCTACAGCATTCAAATAGATGGCAGCGTCAGTAAGCACATGAGAGATCACAAGTTTGTCAGTAGTACAATGTCAATGACAAATGGTGACAGGCATACAGTTATTATGGTGATGTACTCTCCAGAAGAAAGAGGGGCCCACGGCTTGCTCGAGACTGTGAATCAAGCTTTAAAGGTATGAGGCAAATGAAGATAAATTAGTCGGAATAACAACGGATGGTGAAGCTTCAAATACTGGGCGAAATGCTGGGCTTTGGAAGCTTCTCGGTGACCAGTTGGAAAGGAACATTTTTACATTCTGGTGCTGTGGCCATCGTTCAGATCTTGCAACCGAGGCAATTATCAATTCTGTCCAAGAGCTGAAGATTTGGAAGTCATCACTGATTCGTGTTGCTATATATTTTCGTACATCAACTTTAAAAAAGAGAATGCTGGAGAAAGCAGCTATTGAGATGAAGCAATTTCCACGGCATCATGACGTACGGTTTGCTCAACATTTCCTCTCACTAATAAATGCTATTCTTACGAACATTAAAGGATGTAAACAAGTTTGGGGAGAAATTACAAAAAAAGGAGACCGCAAAGATAAGAGGGAGGCTTCAGGATATCTGAATACGTGGAACGAAAGACAGATTTGGCTCACAGCACTAATGGGTGATATATTCGAGGTTTTCACAAGCAAATGCAACGGGATGATCTTCTGCTTCCAGATATATTCACTTGTTCTAGCATGGCACAAAGGAACTTGATTTGTTGAGCGGCACACCCTACCCAGGAAAGCGTGAATCAAAAACTACACTACCATGGAAAAACATCGAAACACAGAGAGCAAGACAAACGCACAACACTTTGGTGCCAACTAACAGACGAAATGAATCTGCAATTCGCATTGAAATAACATCTTCAGCGAAAAATTTTCTAAGTGAGCGTCTGCACCCAGAGCAAGAAGAAATTTTGTTGAGTATGAGCGAATTGTTGAGTGCAAGTACCCTGGGGAAATTTGTGGAAAAAGGAATAGGGATGACCCAGAGGCTTTTTCCAGGGGAAGAGGGTCGCTTTGCAGATGAATGTTGTGAACAGTGGGACAAAATCGAAAAAGTGCCGCATCTTCCAGAAGGAAGCGACATTGGTTGTAAACTATCAGTACGTCTGAGAAAGCTCTTGCCTCTTACAGATGGCACCGTTCAAAAAGTGCTAGCTGCTATTGGAAGTATGTCACCACATTCCATGCAAACCGAGAGGATTGTGTCTCATCATAACATCATTGTTGAAGATTCAAGAACAAACATGACTGAAGACACAATCAACGCCAGACTGCTTATTGCCCTAAACGGTGTTGGAACAGCTCATTATGATCCACGGCCAGCTGTTGCCCATTTTCTTTCAGCACGTGAGCGACGAAACCGTCAACCAGACTTTGATACATACAGCAGACGGAAATTCATGAGAAAGTTTTTCAGACAGACCGGACATTTTTAAGACTTTTGTAGCAAAATATTTGTACCAAAAAGTTTATTCTTATAACTCTAAATGCAGAAAGCATCATGATCTTGAGTACTATATTCAAATTGTTTTATCTAGTGTTTTTCTAACTATACGCTGCATGGGTGTAAGGAGTTATGTGCAAAACAGTGAAAATTTTACCATCTATGCATACTCGTCCCTTTACTTTTGTTTTTGCCGTCAGTTGCGTTACATTAAGGAAAGTGCCCTTTTGCGTAAATTCCCCACCAGTAAAAATTTCTTGAAAGATCCCCTGCACCCCTCTCATTCTTTATTTTTCTCTCTATTTCCTTTTCTGTTTCTTTTTACATGCTGCTGTTTTTAACATGCCTTGGGGTAAAGAATATCATGGTTCTCTTTTGCTTAAACCAGTCATCATTTGCTCTAAATAATCTTATTGGTTCAATACAATTTTGCATAAAGAATTTTTTTTTCAGCAAAATTGTGAACCAGTTCAAGAAGCTAAAGAGCTTCCATTTTCATTCAGTTCCTAATAAAAGGTCCTTTTTGGTTATTTTACTGGCTATGAGCTGGACCATATTTTTTTATTAACTAGACAAAATTTTTTCTTTTCCTAGCATATGAGTATACAGCAATTATGACAAAATAAATTTTACAACTAGAGACATAAAATGTATCCTGCCTTGATACTTGGAGCATACGGGCATAAAAATTAAATCCTGCCTTGAAAATTACTCACTTGAAAATATTAATTGTTTCCTCTTTTTCTGCATGTTTAGTCAGCAAGTTTGCCAATGTATCAACTGACTGCATCACAAGGGGAATGGTCTAAAAAAATTAGGTGAAAAATTTCAATAAATTGGCATATCAAATGTTTTAAGGTTGATGTTTTGATCAAATACAGAGCCATAATTTATTCAAATAATGATTTCTGCAGTAAATTTAATTTATGATCATATTCACCCATTTAGGAGGGTTGAGGGAGCCACCTATAACAGCTCAGGAGTAGGCTACCTTCCATTGAGACTTTAAATCCAATTGCAGCAAAACAGTGAAAAGCAATTATAATTCTCACATCAAATAAATTTACCTGCTTGATTTTACTTGCAGAAAAAGTTGGACTAACTGTTGGTCGAATTTTCTTCCAGTCTTTGTATTCTGCCACTATCATGTTTAAATGCATGGGCGACTTGGGAGTGCCAAGGGGGACCTATGAAATGGCATGTGCTTATGAATAAATAATGGTTAAAAAGTTTGTGTTGTGCTCACATCGAATAAAATTTAAGGCACTGTGTCCCGATGAACTTAGGTGATCATTTAAACTCTCATTGGGTGACTTATATGCCCTCAGTGCTTCATTTATCAAATTTTGAATAGGCTACATATCATAATATTGAGCTGAGCATAACACTAATTGTGGCTTCAAAAGCACCATTCCATCTTCTCGTGAATTTTAGTGAGCAACACTATCCATATTATAGCAACTTCTTGAATAAAAGCAACAGATACATTTAGCATTAGCTGTTACTTTGTAATGTAAAGATCAACTGAAGATCGCAATGGATTAAATCATAACAAAACTTTTGGTCTTATTCTTTGGAAATTTTTTTACAAAAATATTGGTATACAAATGTGACAAAAAATAGGAATACAGCTATAAAATTAGTGCCAGGTGTCTATTTAAAATTATTTTACAACTTCATCCATAAACGTAACAACAAATTTGATTATTTCATAAAAAAAATTTACAAAGTTATACAATACCCTTCTGTTATGAAAATTGCTGAATTCTTTGACAAAAACTACTTCCAAGACTGATGGGTCGGCAACAACTACATGCGGATTTCTTCCCAAATAGAACCTAAAAGGGGATCCAAAGCTGAGAACATTCATTTGTAAAACAAATTTTATAGATTTCTTCATATGGCATTTTTACAGGGCCACCCTACTTGGCCCAGCACCCGGGCCCACAAACAAATAGGGGCCCCAAGAAATTTGTGAAAGTTTTATTTGGGATCATAGGGTAGCCTGCGTGCAGACTCGACTAAAGTAGGAAATTTTAGTCTGCATGCAGGCTATCATAGGGCTCCTCGTACCTATGTTGCTTAATATTAGGTGTGGAATGTTTCTAAAGAACACTGCCTCTACAAGTCAGAGAGGTATGATCAACAGAATAACTATGTAAAGTTTTCAGAAAGATTCTTAGGAAGGTCAGTCTCTATTAATTCATAAAAATAGGGATTGATGAAATATTCACAACTAAAGAATTTAAGAGGAAGATATCACAGCGAAGATATCATGAATCTCTGTTGGTAACTACTGAACTGGAAACCATTAAAAAAATAAAAAATGAATACATCATAAATACTAATGTTGGGCACATGAACATACATATTGGGTGGGACAAGGGGGAAGTTACTTCCCAAGAAACTTTGAAGACTGGGGTTTTATACTGTTTCATAATCTGATTGTAAGCAAAAGGTAACGCACACCAGATGTAAAAGAGCAAAATAACATCCAATTTGTGCTTTCTCAGTTTGTTGGAATCAAGCCTTTCATTACCCAACACTTCAGGAATAAACAACCTCAATTGTACAAGCTTCAAAAATTGATAATGGATCAGGATGATTCCATCTTATACGAACTGACATAGCACCCTACTAACTTCACAAAAGAAGAGAAGGATGCTCTTCACAGCCATGACATTATACTTGGAAAAAACCATGATTTTATGGGACAGGATTGAAAGCTATATTTAGTTTCTTTGCAGCAGTTAGAGAAGAGGAAATTGTCCAATCTTCTAATAGACAAAGTGAAAAAATTGGATAATAACAATTATTTGGTTGACAAAAACAATGAAAAAGATATTAAAATGTTCATCAAGAAGCACAAGAATCTACTGTACTAAGCGACTGACCTCCCCTGTGGGGCTTTTTGCTAAAAACAATAATACCAATGTGCCTTGCTCCTCTCTCAGTAATGTTTGACTAAGACATGGCAAAAATTCAGTTATTGGACTCCTTTTTTATCTACAACCACACAATGTAAGAGATTTTGTCCAGATCTGAAGAAAATCCACTCAATTATGCTGTATATAAAATTTAAGGAAGAAACCTTTTGATTCCATTTAGATTTATGAGAATCAGGCTGATGCATAAAGGACTGATGGCAATTAAGGTTGAAATATATTATATCAAGCATACCCAAAGATATTTCCAAATTTCTTCATGTTGGACATGATGAAGTAGACACTTGTTCCCTACAAACGATTCAAGAACATAGTCAGTTTCAAACACAATATTATCAGTCCTTGAGATTAAAGTCAGTGTCAGCCACTATCTTACCCTATGTTTCGTGTTCTTGATTACGTACTTGGAGTAAACTTGGCTTGCTATGTCATTGATATAATGTGGTTGCCATTGTTTGTTCACTGATGTTCAAACATTGTATGAATATTAAGATTACAAAGAAAGTAAATAAAGCTTGTTGACTATTATATTCAGTTGCAGAAAGTACTTGATAAATAATTTATGTATTTATTTGCAAGATCATCGTATGTATTTGATATTGTTTCAAACATCAAACTTGTTTCTATTAATACATTCAAAGAATTTTATTGATAAACTTCACATTTGATAAAAATTGCCCACTTGACTCAAACAAGGAAGGCAAACCTCCAATCTGCCAAAACTCTTTTGGCCAAGCCTGAAGTTGGTACCAGTTCTTGTGATACAAGTAAATGTCAGTCATGAAATCATATGATACTTGAATTCAGTATCAGTCCTGGTGATACATGAAGTCAGTATCTGTTGTTGTGATATACAAAGTTGGTATCAGATCTCTTCATACACAACCACAGTGTCAGTCTTTATTATACATAAAGTTAGTAACAGTCGTATTAATACAAAATATCACTACTGGTTCTTATTTTATACAAGTCCAGTATTAGTCCTTATAAACATGATGTCAGTAGTATATTTGTATAATGTAAATTCTTATAAATAAAGTAAGCACAATAAACTTCTACCTCTACATCGATACTGAGCAGGACCAAGTATCAGTATAATGCTCAGAGTGCAAGAAATAATAGATGAATGGATAAAAAGTGCTAGAAAATGCTACTGATCAATGATTGGATGTTTGGATGTTTATGCTAGGAAATCATACCCTGTGTACCAGACACACACTATAAAAAATTAGAGCGTCTTTCTCTATTTTTATTGAGTGAGTCTGGTACAAAGGGTAAGAAATTTGCCAAAAGAAACTTTTTAGGGATATTTTTCACAGCTACAACAAGTCAGATATGTAAATGTTTTTATGGTTTTAAAGTACTCGTGAATCTTCCGTCAAGAGATATTTTGCAGGGGTTGTGATACCCCACAATGCTCCTGGTGTTTTGTTGTGCTCCTTAAGTTTTGTTGAGCTCCTGACGTTTTGTGGCCAGATTTGAAATACAAATCCCGCTCATTTTGAAAAATTGAAAATGGAAAAATAAACAAAGTTTTACCTATGAACAGTTACTAGAAAGAGGATGGAACTGTTGAAGACCTTAAAGATTGGAGAAACAAAGATATACACCTGACGCATAAGATCTGACACATTTCCAGTTAAATGGCTGTATTGTGGATGGGGTATTCCATATCTTTTGAAAAATGAAAATGGCCTCACAAACAGCCTAAAAAAGAAAACATTCTGTAAGAAATTATCAAAATAAACAAGAATAAACACTGTGGGATATACTAAGCTAAGGATGAAAAGCAGGCAGCCCAGTGCTTAAGATTGGCTGTGACAACCCAATGACATGACAGAGTTGACATGTTTGCAGAAATTGTTTGCAGAAATTTTTAAATAAAATGCTAGAGTGCCATTGAGTTCATATTGGTTCAAAATGCAGTGACCAAATAAAAACCAAAATATTAATCAATAGATGCAGACATTTCTGCAAAAATTGCCAAAACTGGCAGGCACTCTCAAAAACAATGTGATGAGCGAAAATTCTGGTCAGAGACCTACAAACAATTTTTTCTGGAGGATGGGGGGGGGGCAACAATTTTTTTCTTGAGGATATACATGATGATGGGGGGAAGGTCAAGAATCCGGTTCGGATAACCCGATTAACCTCGTGTCATACACGTCAAAGAATTTTTTTACTGCATCAACGAATCACAGGTCGCCATGACATCAAGCAAAACATGGTACGAAAGATATAAAGGAACAAAGCAATACGACGAAAAGAATCCAATGTATCTTTTTAATATATTTTATAGTTTTTTTGTAAGAAGGAATCAAAGTCCGAATGTCTATGCGAATGTCTATTTGAATGTCTAAACGAATGTCGCACGCTAAATAGCGGAACTAAAAACATGGCACCTCTCCGGATTGTTCACTTCCGCTTAATACTGTTTGTTGCTGAATTAATTTTGCTACCATCATTTCATCCAATCTGTAAATTCTACTAAAAGCTTAAAGCTTTATGCAGGGCATTCAAATCCTGAAAAAAGGTAAGGACAATTTGGAGCAAAGGACAATTCAACAAAGGCCAAACCATTGTACGGTCCCGACAGGTGTGCCCCACCCCCACAACGACCTTCTGCTCCAATAAAATTATTTTAACTGAGTGCTTATTCTCGTACTCACCAGTAGCAGACCACTGTGGCAGCAAAAACAAGAAAGGAAACCAGCAAGCCAGTTTGAAACCGGTCATCTAGATTCGATACAACCATGTTGAAATAAAATTGACCCTCGCCTTAGGGGAATTTTTCTTTTTGCTGAGAAATCTTTTTTTTGCTGACAAATCGAAATGAAATTTTCAAAACGAGGTGCGAAACACACGCAGGTGCCCACGTGCCCATCTCCAGCACTGATCTCCAGCCTCGTTTCATATTTACCTTATTTTGACCAATCATTGTACTTTGGATTTTTGACTAGAATGTTGTGACTTTTTGTTTTTTTCGTTTTCGGATTTTAGTTGATGACCTACAAACCCGGACAAAATTGTTGAAACATAATGCAATTTTTGTAATTTTCTACTTTACGTTGCCTCTGTAAACTCGAATCCCCCTTTCCCCCGAATCAATGTTGGATAATGTAAGTCTACCATTTCTCCTTCAAAATCATGCATTCAACAATGGACTGGGGAAAAGGGAAAGTTATTTTTCAAAGATAAGAGAAAAAATTAATTTTCCTTGAAAAGTCTCAACAATTTTTGTCCGGGGCTGCTAGCCATATTCATTTAATTTTTTTAAAATCTGGCTCTTTATTTCGACCAATAAACAATATCCTTTCTGGGATACTGCGTACAATCACGAACAGAAAGACTTTCGAACTACACATGCCCAATTAACAATATAGCAAATGTCCAAAATGCAATTGCGATGTATCCCTGTGACTTATCACTATCACCAGAGCATTTATTAAGAAATTTTCACTACTGGGGAAAATTTGCCAAAAAGGCCCACCGAGAAATAACCGAAATAAGCACAGGGGTCTACCATGCGGTGAATCGTTGATTTGAAACCATACAAAAAGCAAGCACAATTAGGGGGGAAACTAAGAAAAAACAGTGTAATGTTAACCCCAGCCAGTTCACACTGGACACTGTTACAAAATCCTGAACCGTCAAGAGATCAGAGGTCCATTTACCCTGGGTACCGAAGCCACACAAATTCACGCTCAGTTGTAGAAATAAAAGCGGGAAGTAGAAAAGTGTCTTCCTGAGAAGAATCAGAAGTGGCTCTGGCTAACTCTTTGTCTCAAACAGACGCACCTCCGCTTCCTGCTCCTTGGCAGATTTCTTGAAAAAATGAAGTCATATGGAGTCGACAGATTAGCCCAAACTTGGTTTACAGATTATCTGTTTCAAAGATCGCAAGCTGTCAAGTTGGGTCAAGGGCTTTCTGATCCCTGTCCTCTTACTTCTGATGTCCCTCAGTACTCCATTTTAGGCCCTATTTTGCTCTTGCTGTTTTTCAATGACTTCGAAGACTGCTTTCATCAGAGTAATGTCGTACAGTTTGCAGATGATACAGTGATGTACCTGTCACCAGAGTCCATAAATGAAATAGAAAACAACTTAAACTAGGACCTCGCCTCAATATCTACCTACCTGTCTTGCAACAGATTTGCTATTAACCTGAGGAAGGGAGAGACAGAGTGCATGTTGCTTGGCACTTCTAAACGCATAGCAACTGCTGCATCCAATTCGAGAGACCTAAACCTGTTTTGCAATGGCAAAAAAATAAACTCTACTCAGTCATATAATGTATCTTGGTACCATGCTGGATCAACAACACA